CCCCGACACCCCGTCGTCGTGGGTAGGCTGTGCTGCCGGCGGCTGCCAGGATAATCCACCCGACCAAGCCGACGGCGGCGCCCCCGTGGTGGTAGAAGAAGATGCCGGCGTCCGGGTCCTTGAGGGTGTCCTGGGCGTCGTGGTAGTACACGGGCCGGCGGCGGGTACTTCTCCGGCGGTGGCCGCGGTAGCCGGCAACCGGCGTTTCATCTTCTCCTTCAAGGCGGCGTCGCTCGGCATGTTGGCAGGCGGCACCACCATGAGCGCCGATGAGAACTCCGCCAGCGCCAACCTGTCATCCACCGTCATCGCCGCCGCCAGGTCGCGCCAGGCCACCCACCCACCGGCATGAGCTGCTTCCAAGACGCAGCGTAGGTTGGCCACGGCGAGTGGCAGCCCCTGAAGTTCCGCCTCCGGCAGCGGCGGTGGTGGGGCCTTGTACTGTGGCGGCACGACCGGCGGGGCTTTCCTCTGAACCGGCGGGCAAGATGACGACATGGCTAGAAACCGGCGTCTAGCTGAAGCTCTCAAAAACGGCGCTCGAGCGGAGTGTCTGCGGCGATGCGCCGTTATCGCATGTTACTGCACACACACGTGTGTTTCACTACATGGGTGTGATTCCCGCATGCAATTGCATGCACGTGAGCAGGGACGGGACCATCGTACAGCTCTGACATGCGAAGACCGCCCGCCTTTGAGCCTGCTCGCACAAACCGCTCGATTACCTGCAGCCTGACCTCAGCACAGGTTTCTCAAAGAAGGGGATGTGTTGGAGGGTCCTCCTAAAATAGGGTTTACGGATGCTTACGTGCCGATAACACTTCAGCTGGCCACAGCTGCGAAACACAACGTGCATGGACCGCGTGCCTGTCTCTCGTATGCTCAGCCTGTGCTCACACTCTCTACTCTCTGCTTCTCTTGGGAGATGACCGAGAAGGTGTCATTGGCACATTCGTCCCATTCAGGCTTCAAGGCCTTAGGTAGGCGCATTCCATCCGGACGACTGGTGACATGGCAACATACGCAACTCTATCTCTATGTCGCCGGGAGCCACGCCGGCTTGAAGCTACTCGGGACAGCAACTCTCGTGTGAATTAAGACCTTGGCCACAGTGTCACACATCTGTCACAGCCTGCTCCGCGCCTTGGGCAAGGACCGACTCCACACGTTTAACGTCCTGCCCGATGCGATACTGGAGGAGCTTCTCGTGCCTGCCACCGGGCCACCAAGAATCACCGGTTCTTGGGGAGTTGCTGTGGAAAACTCATGCGCCTTGCTTTGCGCGCAGCACATACATCCGAGACTTCTTGTGCAGCTGGAGGCTCTTCCCCAGTCGCACGCGTACCTGGGTTTCAATGCTTCTACGACGTTGCTGCTGAAACGCCGCTGCCCGGGTTTATCTCAAATTTGTGTTAAGCCGTGATGTGCGTTCCAACAAAGGAACTGTAGCTCCATCTCGGAGACTGGGAAATGCACTCTTGAGTTCCTTGTCCTTGTCTCGCTTGTCCACCTCAAGGATCCACAGCGTCGGCAAAATATAGAAAGATTGCGCGCAGACATGGCCTCCCGGTACTGGAGCTCGAAGCGCAACTCTGCGGCTTGCTTGTCCTCCTCCTCCTCTGCCTGCAGTCCCCAGTTCTCCAGTTATGTGGCCATGATCAAGATACACAAACGGAAAGGGACCCCAAAATACATCAATCAACTCCTCCTCTGACTGGTTCTGGAAGTTGTCTGACACCAAACGTCGCCGTTGGTCTGCTGCCTGACAAGCTGTCTCACCATGCCAGCATGAACGGCTGAGTTGGAGTTGAAACTGCTATCCACCCCAGCAAAGCGACGACTGCGATAAAAGTGTCAAGCACATGAACTGAAATGGCTCCAGATTGCCAGAAAGAGTGGGATGGAGTGAGCCTAGGTCGGCAACTCGAAACTAATCCAAGCAAGCAATGTCAGCCTGCCGCTGCTCACGGATGAATGCGACCAAGTCCTACAGGACAGGCCACAACGAAGAATCGCCATCTCTGCTGTGTTTCTGCTTGGTGCTACCAGGCAGAACCTCTGCTTCTTTTGCACTCAGCCCGCTCTTGCGGCAGGATTGGGAAACACGGCAGTGACTTAGGAGTCTCAGGGGTCCCGCTTTTGCAGTTGCGCGCATGCAACAACCAAATCCCATCGCCAGTTCGCAGTGTGCCAAGCTACCAGCATACTTAGTCGATGCTTTGCTGCATACATTGTCCGATTTCGGCGATGCAAACAACAACCTCAGGCTGCATTCCTACATTTAAAACGATCTCCTTCAGTGGCAGCTTTCCGGCAGTCTGATTCAGAATGTAGTTCGTGGCTTGTTGATCAGTTCTCGTCGTGGGTACCTACCAGAGGTCTTGCAAAGTGAAGCGCATCTTTGACTAAGGCGCGAAACTGCGAAGCCTTGACGCCGCTGATGGTCCGTTCCAGCTCTTCCCGTTTGAAGGTTGGAAGGACAACCTTGCATTTTCCAACTCCCTCTATCAGCACATGAAAGGCTGCAGGATAGAGAATTAAGGGCATTGCTCGCATAGGATTCTTCTTCTTTCCCTGTAGACACGATACTCAAAATCAGCAGTGGTGGCTCGGCACGACGCGGCAAGAGAGCAGAGCAGGACACGTTTAGCGAATGACATGGCTCTTTGCAAGGGCGGCCTGGAGCTTGTTGATCGATTCAGCCAAAGCTTCCTGCATGATGCGTCACCCTGTCGTACTTGCCGTCAAGAACCGTAGCAATCTTGCTGGCTGCTGTTGACGGGATGTTGCTGCTTGTGACGTCCTGCTTCTTTGTGGCCTCAGCAGCTTCCAGCTCCAGAATTTCAGACCGCAGCACCTGGCCAACATTCGTCAAAAGAAGGTGCGCGAGGGTGCGAACAAATGCAGGGGACGCCTCCAGCTTTGCAGCCTCTGGTGAGCAAGACCCGAGGAGCGTGACCTGCTGTGTCTCGAATGCGGTTACGACATGCTCTCACAGAAGGCAGGGCTTCCCACCATCATGGGCTGGAAGTCGAACTGTGCAATCTGGAATCGAAGTTCGCCCCTTGCAGTCCTGCCATCCAAAAGCACCGGATGTCCATGAGGGCCAAGGTCTTATTGCTCGCACTTTCCTGTGCCGCGTTGGTGTGAACGTGATGACGACCTCCGTGCTTCCATCTGCAGGTATGACACCTTCGTTCTCCGGCGTAGCTGGCGACGTTCTAGAGTCAAAGGCTGGATGCAACAGGAATCACACCACAATCCCTCCAACATTCCACCTGCCAGCGGAGATATGCTGAAGTCGGAGTGGGATTCCACGACGTCAATTTCAAACCTGCTCTGTTGCACCAGCAAGGTCCGCAGTTAGCCGTGCTCATCGGGCACATCTGAGACCGCAGCTCAAACTGAATCGGAATCTTGCAGGACAGCGGGATTACCTTAGATCTCGACCTGAAAGTCTGACAGGCTTTTTTTTCTTCGGGCCTGCTGACGCACTCAAGTTACTGTTTGGGAAAACCTGTTCAGCCAAGTGCGCCCCCCTGTCTTTGCCATCTGTGTGCAATGGCAGGTGGGCCCAACGCATTCAATACTTTGGGTTTGCATGCGCGCGCATCTGGCCATGAGGTGCTCTGGGCTCCTTTCCTGCACCGGACCCCATCTTAGAATCTTCTCTTGCAGCAACTGCGCACAAACAACTGGAGCCAAACACAGCCAAGTTCGGACAGGCAACAAGCTGCGAAAAATCAAGCATTTGCCTCCCACAAGCTTCTGCGTCAAGAATACAGGACAACCAACGCACCAGACAACTTTTATTTTGCATCTTTCGTGTTTCCAGTTCTCCAAATATGACTGAACTTTTGTCACAATCTCTGATTCATTCTGTTCTGGACGGGCTTTCCCACGCGCAGTACTGTCTCTTATTTTTGGCAGGTGGCCGGGAATTGTCAGCAAATTGTACGTTAACATGAGAGGGACGCTCAAAGCGGGTGGTCATTCCCAAGAGTGCGACTTTGCCATGTATTTCGGCCCACTACTCGGCCACATGTGGAGTAAAAAACTACAGAGCGCTACTGCAAGAACCCCAGTAGCAACATCAACACGACGCCTGGACAAAGACAGCACACTGAGTGAGCTGAAGGCTGACTACCATTGCCGAGGTAGCACATCATTCATCATTAATCATGACCGAATAGCATCATTCCATTTCGGCTCAAGACAAGGGCTGTCTGTATGATCACACTTAAGCCTGATGGGTCACAACCCGCGAGTCCATTGCTCAAAAACCAGCAGACCGACAGCAGCTTATCTGGGGATCTCCTGTCAACGAAGACGCAGCCGAAAAGGATCCTGTGGCCCTGATTCCCCGTCAAGGGCAGTTGGGGGACGGGCGGGGTCGACGTCGCAGGCAGTGGGTGGCAGCAGGTAGCATGTAGTCGGTGTAGGTGGTGGTGGTGGTAGCAGCAGCAGCAGTAGCCTCAGCGGCGAGCAGGAGCAGGATCAGCGGTAGCAGTTGTAGTTGGTCGTCGCCCTCTGTCTAGTCGTCCGCAGCGCGCATGTGCAAAGCTCGCTGATCACAACATCCATCAGAGAGCATGAGCACCCTAGCATGGGGTCAAGCGGATTACGGAAAGCCGCTATTTTCGAACGAATCGCGCGCAAATGCAAGGAACGACACAAACTCCTCCGACAATAGAACCTGCACTCGGCATCCTGTAAGCGAGCTCGATGGCACAGCGCTCACGCTGAGATGAATTTTATACACCCCAGAATATTCAAGAATCTTCTGATCAGCATCCCTGCACGTGTTGTTGCATGTTGCTGGGTTGGGGTACTAGGTAGCTCTCGGGACTGTGTCGCTCCTTTGCCATAGAGTCACTGCGCCACAATTCAAGCTGGTTTGTGTCGTTCCTCGTGTTCCTCAAATGATCCTCAGCTCCAAAGGCCGAATGAAGCTGATGATTCCTATCTTTCAACTGATGTGGCTTCGTCAATCTTACGCTCTTTATCCTCGATCCCGTGCCACCGCGATTTCAACATATTTCAACATGAGTGAGTGACATGCCCCGATCGTCCGGCTACTCGACTCCAGGGACTCCCCAAGCAGAAGGTCACCACCGGAATTTACTTCTTCAGACTCGTGACACCATGCCCCCGCAACATCCTGCAACTATCTGGATGCCTGTGGCAGCTCAAACGTGGCATGGGCACGGATTTTTGGTTTGGTGCATTCGATCCATGACTAAACTCCTGGCAGGTTGGGTTTTCGACTTTTGATGCGTCCCACCATGGGCTTCTCGCATCGACACCTTCCATCGGAACAGCAGTGAGCGCATTCTCTGATCATGCTCGTGGGGATACACGTGACAGCAAGCCTGGTGGAGGGCGTTGGACGAAGCAGTACATTCCGACCCGGGGAGCGAGTAGGTACGCTGACAGTCTATGTCGCGGGGTTAGAGGGCGACAACCAGTCCGTCCCAGGGCACCTGCGTGTACTTCAGATTAGAATTGAAACAAGCGACTGCTTTAGTTCCGCTCTCTGTGAGCAAATTGCCCAAGCAAGCAACCATTCATGAGTTATGGCTTTGCATTCGCAGGCACACGTTTCTCAGCTGCTAGCGTTCCAATGGCGATCGCACCGAAGTCAATAATCCGTGGCAAGACAATGTCGTTGGCTGATGGGTATGCATGAATCGGCCTGCAAGACCGGAGGAAGCCAGGCTCTATGCAGTACCATGAGGTTCAAATCACGCGATGTTGTAGCACATGCTGAGCCAGCTGCACGATCAAATTTTCAGATAACTCTCCACAGAATATTTTGATGGTGTCGTAATAGTATCGCCTGCCACACAAGCACTTGCAGTGGCTACTGCCGCAATCATCGCCGCTTCGTGCCGAACAGGCCAAGGCTGCCATTCGTGGGGCTCAAACGAGACGGTCACGTCTTCACTCATTCCTGGCCTCAACAGAATCGGTGCATCAAACCCATGATGTGGCAAATAGCTCTTTCCCTAGCCCTTGCATCTGCAGAAGGTCTTCATCGTTCGGTTTCATGCGAGGTTCTCGGGAGCTCTGGGATCCCAGCGCTAGCAAGCCCTTCTTGTCTACAGTGATACGGAACCACGGGGTGGACGGACCTGGGCAGTGTTGCAACAATGTGGTTAATGTGCGACAAAGCTGCTTTGCAGACCTCAGCGCCGAACCGATGATTGACACCCTCAAAGATGATGGCGAAATGTTCACCACTCTGAGAACTTGTGTGTGTTCCTGTCGCAATGCAGGATGAGGCTTCGTTCGCAGGGGGGAGGCTCTCTTTACTCTTCACGCTTATTGGCAGTTTTCGCTTTGTTGATGCAGCCAGGTGTGGCAGGGCGATGCAGGGAGCATCAGACGTGTGCCAGCAAAGAACTAGTGCGGAGGTCCCTATCCTTGATGCATGAGTCAGCTCGAGGGGCTTGCCTGAGCCTGTAGTTTTCCTGATGCGAGCAGTATAGTGGGTGGAACGACAGAACCAAATCGACAAAAACAGGGTGGTGGAAATGGACAAACAAATGCGGCGGGCCAGTCGGCGGAAGGCTAGAAGGGAGTCAAGGGAAATGGCCAGGCCACAGAGGAGCTTGACAGCATGCAAACAGCTCCGCAAATCCCACCGTGAATCCTGGTGTATCTGGAAGCCGCCAAAATGCAGTGTATGTGGCCTCTTGCAGCTGCACGTCGGAAACGAACAAAAGCCATCTACGGCCAAGGATGACACCGTGTCTCGACTATGTCGTTTCGGTGCAGCTGCTCGAAAGTCTCTTTCTCCAAGAGAGGGTGCCTGTGACATGGCAGGTTCGTGCATGCCCTAGTGCCGGCTACATCTCTGGCGAGAAGACAGTCTTCAAGCCGCGACGGTTGAGGACACCTGCCTCCCACCAACCACGAGCTCATTGCCATCGTCAGGATACCTGCCAAGCATCAGACATCGCAGCCCATCTTCAGCCGCAGGGAAATGCCCGAACCACGACATCGCCAAGTTGCCCAGCAGTTGCTTGCATGTCGGGAACCTTTCGGCAGGATCATTGAAGGGACCCTCCTTGCTCTTCTTCGCTTCTTCTGCATCGGGGCCTTGATCTTCGAGTAGGGATGTGCTGTGTTGTGTCGGCTTCTCTTGGAGTGGGGCACTCTCGCTTGGGGCTTGATGTGAATATAGGTGTAGGGTGTAGGCCAGTCCGGAGCCGCACTTCGCAATTCTCAAAGCCGGTCCCGTTCGATACAATGCCAAAGGATTCAAAGGGAGCCTGAAACAATCATTGCGTTGATGGTGCCGCCTGCTCCAAAATGCATCAAATCGCAACATATCGCAACCAAAGTGATGATTTCTGCCAGTGGTATGTATATGCCTATGATCGGGAAGCAACCAGATATTTCATGCTTCCTCTGTTGTCTGTTCCCGTTCTCTGTTTCCGTTGTGTTCACCCCTTCACTGGACGTGGCGGAGGCGGGCCGTCGGGCATTCCGCCGTGCTCGTCTTTTCGGCCTTGCAACATCCTACCCCCAGCAGACCAGAAAGTCTTGAACCTCGGGAACAACCCCAGCAAACTGAAGCAATTGCAACAACGACTCGCGAGCCTCCAAAACTCTATCCCCAGCTGCTGGTCCGTCTGCGTGCCATGAAGAACCTCAGCAAGGTCGTAGCCAGCCCATATCGGGAAAACCCACCTACAATGGACCTAGCCAGAACTCACATCCACGAAGCACCTACTGGATAAATTGTCATGATGAGCATCAGGCAGCCATCAACTAGAGTGGCACAAAACAGGAACTTTGGGAAGGCTCCATCTCGCCGTTTCAAGATCAGCTGATCATGCCTTCCCCTGCCTCGGACTTCTTGCTTCCTCTGCTGTGGAAAATGTTCCAAACAAAAAAAATGCGCCTGCTGACTGCCTGCCTTGTGGTCTCCGGACCTCCTTGACAGCTCTCGGGCTTGCTAGTAACAGTCTGGAGCAGAAGGATCAGATTGCCGTTTCCGCTGGGCTGACACATTCTCTCGAATTCTGAGTGCATCCCAACCATTGCAACACTCGAGCCCTCCAAACACTTTAGAAGTGCCGGCATGACCTCTTGAAACTGCAGATGTGGAAAGTGTATCTCGTCCCTCCACTTAGGCCAGCTTTCACCGAGTGCGTATGAAGCATATGCAGCACCTGTGATGCTCGCATTTGATGGATAAGTACGATAGGACTCATATAGCACTTTCCTGTTTTGGCCGATCGTCAACTAGGAAGACTGCAAGCGTTCAACTCGTCTTCCGATGCCGAAGCAATTCAGAATCGCAATCAATAACCATACATGCTAACGTGCTGCGTGCACACGCAACAGAGACATGCTTAGCAGTCCAAGCCCGATGTAATCAGTAACCAGGCAGTACTCTAGAACAGTTGAAATCGAGACCAGAAGCCGCGAGGACGTTCTGAACTTGCTCGAACTTTGGCGACTTCGAAGCAAGACTGAGTGCAGGACTTTGGCGGGAGCACGATTTCGTCAAGTTCGCGAGCGCAAATAACAGAGGGTGCAGCGGGACCGTGGAAAGAACGAGATTGGGATAAAAAAATAGGTTGCGGCTCCAAACTGACCTGCAGTGACAGGTGGGCCTCGAACTGCTGCCTCTCGATGGAGGACTTGATTTCTCATATTCCCTTCAGATTTCTCATTGCTAACCTCATGGGAGCTGGGATGCGTGTTGCAACCAATAGTCTTTCGGTCTTTCGGCCCCTTCCCGACCCTTGACATGCTTCCTTTGACGTTTCGATTCTGTCTTCCCAGCGGTCTGTCGCATGGTTCCTTTTAGATGTTGAACAGTCATAGCATAATGCTATGGGGCATCCGCTTCTAGCCTTCTAGCTCCACATGACGAGGCCCCTAGAACTTTGAACAAGACCTTGATGACTTCAGATGTGATTGTACATCTATGTGGCGGTTTGCCTGTCAATCTATTTGTGTGGGGATTCCCCTACAGCTTATGCTGTGTGTATAACCTGCGTTGACCAGTTGATGGACACGACTTGGCAGGTCGGTGTACAGAGCCTGGAAAAAACAAAATTAAACCTGAGGAAAACCGAACGAAAGCAGGTAAGAACTACAGACTTCACCAAATCTGGCATGCACAGCACTAATAAAGCAGAAGCCATGAGCAAAGACTCACCAGATGCTCCCGCATAAAACTCCTATCAATTAAGATTGATGTATTGGCAGTTGATTGCACCTGCTGATTTGGGGTCTTGTCTTGTCTGGTTTCAAGAATCGCGCTGGAAACAATAGTGGGCCGGGAAGGTTCGGGGGGTTTGGCGCCCCCGCCGCCACCCCCAAAAAAACCAATCAGAAATCAGCTTTATTGAAAACCAATGAAAGCTAGCAGTTTCGGATGCTTGCGCACTGCCTCTTCCCTCCCCCCCCCTCCCCCGAGCAATCCTTGATTGTTGTCCAGCATCATGGCGCTGTGGGTTTTCGGGTAGCTCCTTTTCTGGTTTGTATTTAAATGTCGGACTGATTTTTCGATTTTATCTCAATCATTTAAAAGTGCCTTTCTGAGGCTTCTCCATGCTAAGGACAGAACACATGTAGTATCTTGCAAGAAAATACTGGTATAGACACACGAACGTATGCATACGGATCCAAGCATGCAGACTTGCGGTGCATGTAAGCAAACATCGTCTCCATGCTCGCACACTTGTACATTATATACAGAGAGAGTTCATGCGCCTCGGAAGCTCATACATGTTGCATGTATGCATGCATGGATGTATATTACACGTACGAGTATGTATGTGTATATTTATATTTATATTTATATTTGTATTTATATTTATATGTATGTATGTATATATATATATGTATGTGTATATATATATATGTATATGCCAAACCAGAACGCGGCAGATGCAAGTAACCCCAGGGCCGGGAAGCCGCAGCAGGTACGGAGACTGCCGGGTCAGCCCGCAACACAACAGTTATTACACGAAGGATCAGGAAGCAACGGCAGCTCGTGCCAGGGTCGCCAATCGACAGTTCATGTTGACGCAGCACCAAGACGCCGCAACACAAAGGGATGCTGCAGGAGCCGCAGAGCAAGACAAACACACAGCAAGGCAGCGGCAACTGCCGGCTGAGGGCTTGCTGCAGGACAATGCAAGTGCCACAGACCTAAACAGCCGCAGGACCAAGCTAGCGCAGGGCCGGGCAGTGGAGCCCGCAGGAGCAGAAGGAGCAAGAGCACAAAAGCCAGGAGGGAGTTAGCTCGAATGGCGGCGGGAGAAGAAGCCGGGCGAAAGGCAGACTGGCGGTCGGGACATGTGACCGGGAAGAGCCAGTGAGAAACACGCAACAACCAAAATTGCCACATGCAAGCGTCACCCCAAACAGCCGGCCAGGAGCAGGAAGCAAGCACCATGAAAAAGAAAGGCCACAGCGAAACAGCCCGCTAGCAGCAGCTTGGGGAAGACGATCAGGAGGAGCAGGAGAGCAGGCAGGAAGAGGAAGCAGGAGATGACAGTCGCCCCACACAGATCAAGGCTGCAGCTCATCGGGGAGGGCGAGGAAGTTGCTACTCTTGGTCCTGCCCGAGAAATTGCAGCCCTGATCCAAGGAATTCCGCGGGTGCAAAGGGAAAGGAGACCCGTGCTTTCCAGGCAAGTACTTCAAAATCAACGCAGCTGTCGCACGCAGTTCCTTATGTCCACAAATCAACGTGAAACACGTGTGCTTGCTGAGAGGCTCAAGCGAAAACTCCGCAGGCAGGATGGCCCGTAGCAATGCCCGCGAACCCTTGGAGCACAACATCCTTTTCGACATCACCAGCACATCTTAAAGCATAGACTGCCTCCAAGAAAGTAGCAAAACTCAGTACGATGGCGCTGTAACTATTGAGGTAGACTTGTCTACGAGTCTGCATAGCGGTCCTTCTTGCAATGCATCTGCACGGAACTCTTCCACCGAAAGGAGAGATATCTGCGAAGGGCGCACCATTTGCAATTGGGGCACCGCTCAGCTGCCCGGCTGCAACAAATAATCTTGCACTATGCTTGACGTGGTATGCTCAGAAGTCGAAAGCCGCCATCCAGGCGCGCTAATGTGCTGATGATCGTTCCCCCTAACTTGCCTACGACTTTGGCAAATGCCACCGGCTATTCAACACGGAAAAGTTTGCAGAACACGGGGCCAGGCACTCGGTGCCGTGGCAAGTGCCTGAAAAATGGCTGCGAAACATGTTCGTGGCAGTGCTATACTGAGTCCTACTACAGGAAGGATTCCCTGATTTTGCGCATAGCTGCAAAGCCAACCTATCAGACGCATCGGGCAGCAGTCATCGTTGCGCAAATACCAGCCACATAGCTAACACAGCTTTCATGAAAAGGGCCAAATTCCAACCATGCAGCACGCAACAATCGCGGTCAAGGACTTGATATTTTGTCTCCAGGGCGTTTTCGGTGCATTGTTGCTTGGCAATCCGGCCTGGGAAATTGCAACGAAGAGACTTTATGCTTCTGCCGTGTTCTCAGCTTACTGCCAGTCCTGCAAACCGTAGATAGAGAGTATTCAAAGTGGCAATGTTGATCCTTCAAAGTCAGGCTTTAGTGTAGAGCCCATGCAAAACAGCGGCGAATATGAACTTCACAGGCCATGCACGTCTGCTGCAGAAACAACAACCCCACCACGAGCTCAAATGGCCATCATCACAATTGTCCTTCAATTGTTGCACGCAGAATCATGTCCACAAAGCTGGATGCCATGATAAACGTCCCAAAACACTGACAACATATGTGCCCGATGACTCATCCCTTACATGAGGCATCCGGAAATACGGGTACAAACTATAGTCCTTAAGCCCTGATTCCTGAACCCCCGAAAATGGGATCCCTGTTGGCGGCAGCTGCAGACCTTCACAGCAGTCTCTCTCAAAAACAACCTGGGTTCAATACTTCACCCCAAGCTCATGAAAGTTCAACCCCTAAACCCTGCAACCGGGCCACGGCCGCATCGTCCGGCCAACTGAGCAGAT